GGGGGAGGAATTTTGTTTTTTTGGTCCTACAGACTTCAATGGGAACACCTGAAAATGTCCAACACAAGCGTACGAGTGTGTTTCTGCTTCTAACAACCACCTCCTCCTAGCAGCCTAAGGCCTCTGAAATAAATGTAGGATTCAAGAGTGTCCATGCTGGATGTAGAGACTTGAATCTGCATGGCAAGGCTCCACAAGAACCTCTATGACCCCAGTGACACCAAATACAAGAACTGTGCCAAGCAGCTAGAATGCCTGGGAAGAAATTGGGTGCGTTTTTTTTCTGGATTGGGAGCTCCAATAGCACAAGACACCTCACAGAACAAACAGGAAGCAGATACAAGGACATCACAGATGGTCAAAAACACGTTTGCATGCATGCACGTGTGTGTGAATGGGGACTTAGATGTCTATGTATCACACGATCTTCCCTTATCCTTCATCCACACAGATCACAAAATGGCATCATGAGAAGGCAATGGAAAGCAATGTCTCCCTAAAAGGAGTCATATGGGTCTGCCCCCCCCCCCCCTCACATAACCTGCATGGATCATTTTCTTCATCACTTCCTCCATAGTAAGCATGTCCACCCATTAGCCAGGCCCTAGAACTATCTTCACATTTCAGCTGTGGGCCTATAACGGGATTATAATTTTTGTCATAATTACTCTATAAGAGATGTTTTTTTGTTTTGTGATAACCAGGCTTTTAGGTGGAGATGATTCCGATAATTATTTATAACCTACATTTTTTTTAAAGTTTTGATTCGAGTGGAGAAAAGTTGTTATCAATTCTACACGTTTTATTATATTCTACCTTATTAAAAAGGAGAACTATGAGGTGAGTGATTTCCACTCATCCTCATAATTCGAGCCGACGTGTGACACTGAAACTGTCAGACGTCGGCTCTATTAAATCGGGAAGTCAGCAAAAACATACTGTCAGTCACCGCTCCCTGCAGGGATTCCCCCTCTCCAATTCTCCAGCGCTGACTGGAGGGTCGGACAGCATGGGCATGGCTGGCTCTGCCTCTAGATAGGCAGAGCCTGCTGTCAATCAGCCAGCTGGGTAGATCTCAACAGTATTGTCTGGATCTGTCCCAGCTGCAGGGTTCTCAGCATATAGCGAGCAACAGCCCACTATATACTAAGTTTTGGGTCACGGAAGGACGTTAGTATATGTCCTCTAGTCACCCTAAAGAGAACTATGGAGGAAAAAAGGTTACCCCATAGTTCTCTTTTAATTCTGTGGACCTGTGCATTCGCTACCAATCCTGCTGCTTCTTACATTTCCCCCCACCAGTGATCAGTTCTGACATAAAGAAGCAAAGTCCTGTCTCTACCAAAGTGGCCACCTCCATACAGAGGCAGTACCATAAAAAATGTACCCTTTGTCTTGAATTTTGCCTGAAAAATAGCAGTGCGTTGGGTATGTCAGAGTGCCTGGGTACTCCTGTACCTACAGCCTCATTGCTGTATATCTGCAGTGTGAGATCTAAGGCACTATTGCCTCTAACTGCTAATCTCAGGAGACTTGGAGTGAGACTTTGTGATGTCACTACTCCGCTGCTCAATGTTCTCCTTGCTGGAAGATCTGATATGAGGAAGCAAAGCTCTGTCTACCAAAATGGCCGCCTCAGCTCAGAGAGACAGTGCATAACAAGGCATGATAAGTCATTAGTGAGGAAAAGATCAGATGCCGGGAGACCACAGGCAATACTGGGTACTAGTTCTTTTCTTGTCTTTATGCACACAGCTTTTGCCCAATACAGGTCCTCTTTGAGTTAAAGTAATATGCTGAATGGCAGATCTAACCCTGTCTAAAAATAGTATGAAAGCAGCAACATGGCAGTCATCTCACTGATGGTAGAAAAAATATATACTTCACTAATACACATTCTCATTCTCAGCACTACCACAACAAAAACACACAGACCCTCACCTGTGGCTGGGGAGACGGGGAGGAGAGTTATCTGTAATGTGCCGCAGGGGGTTGTAGGGGTCTCCAAGGCTGGACACTGGGGAGATGGTGGCAGCTCTACTTTCACAGAGGTCCCGACCCCTCCTAAGGATGGCTGTGTATAACAGAGACAAGCAACGACATTAACAATGGGTGAGCAGTACAACAAGAGGTCAATGTCAGGAAAGCATCTCTTGCAAAACGAAAGTTTTAATTGCATGTTGATCAGGTGTAGAGGGGAAACAGGGGAAGGAAGCTACACTTCAGCTTTAGGAAATCTCTAAAGGAAACAATTTACAAAAATAATAATATAATACAGTAGAAAGATCTGATAAGGGTGAATAACTGAACAGGAAGGACTAGTGTGGTTGCAGGACTGATGGTTGCAGGACTGATGGTTGCAGGACTGGGTTGTACTCACCGTGTACAGACCATCACAGGAGGATGAAGAGTCACACGACGATGAAGAAAAGGGAGACGCTGGTTCTGCCTTTACTAAAAAATCTAAAGAGACAGAAATCAGATTGTGATATGACAGCATTCCATCAGACTGGCCAATGTATTTGTAGGTCAACCATTGTTTGCATATTACTTATCAACACACAGAAATTATGTTTATGGGGTGGAAAGAGAAGAATTATAGGGATGCCCATTAAAACTGGAGACCAAGATTTTTGGGCTGCAGCTAACGATTATTTCCATAATCGATTAGTTGCCCGATTATTTTCTCAACTAATCGACTGGTTGAATTAAAAATCTCTCTCGTTTTCTCTCCCCCAACTATTCTTATAATCGATTATTTGTTGCAGCCCTACTAGAGATACTGTTGCTGCCCCTAGCAAACCAATAACTGGATTCATTTTCTCCCTTGCACTACAAAAAGGTAATAACTGCAATAAGACCGGCTGTTAGGATGAACATGTCTTGTCTTGTTAGATGTAATACATTGCAGATCAGAGAAATCTACAGGAACATCTTCACGAAAGAGCAATCCTAATTAAATGAATGCTTGAAAGCAAAACTCCAGCCAAAATAAAATCTTGGGATCTATATCATATGTCCTTCGTTCCAGTTATTTCTGCAAATATTCTCCATGTGCACCTTTCAGCAGCACCTCCCAAGAGATATCATGGTAATGGTACTCGCCCATCTTCTTCTCTCTAGCCTCTGATTGGACAATGGAGAAGCAGCAGCACTGATGAGATCATCCCTGTGCTCTCTCCTGCTGCAAAGTAATTGAGCCCTGACTAGCTCAGTCCTTCTCCCAAAGGAAGTGCCGGAGAGAAGCTAATATAAAGACAGGAAGCTGATATTAAGACAGATTTTAATAATTATGCACGTTGTAATAAAAAACAAACAACTATTCAATTATTTTTACATTACACTGCCCTCCTAGAGATGTTAAATATACAAAATTCATAGCTACTAGAGAGATGATTGCATTATATTACTGGTGCCCGTGTGCTCGGCATGTATGTTTGTCTAGCAGACCAGTCAGCTGACAAACTGCAAGCGGTGGAAAGTTACTCTAAGTCATGAGTCTAGTAGCAGTGTCAAAGGTGAAAGTGTGCAAGGATACCAGCTCACAGGATAGCCGGGGACTCACTTGGCTGCTACACAACCCTTAGAATGCACCAGACCGTATGCAAGTTATGGGTGCTAAACACAGTTTTGGTTAAAATTATTTTTTTTGTATCAGGACAAGTAGATTGTCATGAGGGACAAGTAGATTCGGCCCCCCTTTAGTCCTTGGACAAGTAGTTTTTTCCAAAATTTCCACACCCCTGAAGTGCACAAGGATTCCAGCTCACAGGACAGCTTTGGGGAATCAGCTGCTACACAACCCTAAGAATGCACCAGATTGTATGCAAGTTATGGATCTGGTTGTGTGTGGTTGCAATGGGAAAGGTGAAAGTGCACAAGGATACCAGCTCACAGGATAGCTTTGGGGAATCAGCTGCCACACAACCCTTAGAATGCACCAGACTGTATGCAAGTTATGGATCTGGTGTGTGTTGTTGCAGTGGGAAAGGTGAAAGTGCACAAGGATACCAGCTCACAGGATAGCTTAGGGGAATCAGCTGCTACACAACCCTTAGGGCCTGTTCACAAGACGTCCGTTTTGTGTGCTAACCGGCTCCGTACGCTGCTGCACTCAAAATGCATCCCAATGTATCCCTATGTGTTTTATGGGCTCCAGTTCTCACGTGCGCAGTCCGTTCAGCTTACGACAGAAAAAATACTGCATGTCACATTTTGTCAGGTCCGGAAACGGAACGGATACGCAAACGCGTCAAAAACGCACTGCGTTGCAGCTAACATAGTAACAGCCCCACTCCACCAAAAAAACGCGGCCAAAAACGCACTGCATCAGCAGCTCCACGTCTGCTGATCAGGACCTGATCTCATGTGAACAGGCCCTTAGAATGCACCAGACTGTATGCAAGTTTTGTACCTGCCTGCCTGCGTCTGTCCAGCTAATCTTGAGTCTCCCTCTAGTGGTAGCTGGGGGTATGTCAGGCTGTGATAGATTTTTCACAGCCTTGTTTTACCTTCCCAAGACAAGTTCTCTCTTCTCACTTCTCCTCCATCAAACAAGGGTCTTGCCCCAGTTATAAAGTCCTTACGAGCATGATCCTAGACACTGATGTTAAAAAAACACCTCTCAGTGAAATAAATTATGGGACGTAGGCGTCATTCAACCCTGAAGACTGAGGACATCTTGTGACTGAGGATTGCAGCGATATCTGGGGGTTTTCTATTAATCTCTACACAGATTTGGGGATTCACTTGTACGCCTGTGAATACTACAAGTGGCGTTTAGTTTCATGCATGCGGTCCTTTAATAAAACATTGTCATTATTCTCACTATGAGCTCTATATGGTGTTACATAACTCATCTTACCTGACAAGTTCACGCTGTGAATCTCATCCAGAGACGAGGACACGGAACATGACTCCACATCCATCTGGCTGTCGTACTGCGGACACAGAAGACATGATATAGACAACAAGAACCGGAAAGGACATTTAAAACATGTCAGAACGGCTACATACCAAGTGCAGAGGGTAGGAATTAAATCCGGGCGGAAACAGCTCCCCACAGTCATCCGACACATCTCCATAGGTGTACAGACCTGTGTCTGAGGGAACAAACAGTTCACATTTTAGAACCAATCCATATAACAAGCACACACTCGCCTATACAATGTAATGGTGGTTCCTAAACTGCATATCTCACTTCTGCCATCTGGAGGTGATTTCTAGAATTGCAGCTCGCCAATTTGCCTTTCTGAGGATTATTTTATCTATGAGGGCAAATTTCTGTCTGCAGAGAGACTTTGAAGAACACCTCTTAAAGCGCACCTGCACCCTATTTAAAGACTCCCCATCATTCCACCCACCCCAAGTGACAGCTGCATATGGATTTTGTTTTTTATTATTATTAGAAATAGCTTATTTGGGGGTCCTCGCCCGGCACTTCTGGCTTTCTGATCTAGAATGAATGATGCCTCTGCCTGAAATTTCCTGGAACAGAGGCTGCGGGCAATCTCCGCTACACTGCGCATTCGCCATGGTGCGTCATCAGGGGACGGCCGCCAGTACCGGGAAAAGACAGCCAGCCCCCTAATGATATTAGAAGGAATGTGCTGCGATGGAGTTGAAGCGATTATGTGTAGTAGCTTAGATCATATGGGGAGATATATTTCAAGTAGATTTTTGTGGGATAGATGACCGATAGTCACATAGAGGTGGAAGCGGGACATCCTGTTAGGGACCAGTGGCATCCGGGTATTTCTCCAGTTAGGAGATTTTTATTGGACGATACATAAACATATAAAACACTCTTACTGCGTTTCGTAGCTCCAGCTGGCCACTTCCTCAGGAGGGTGTGATGAGACACTTGCTGAGATGCAAGTAAACATATCAGGAGACGCTGCTGCATGTCAGCTAGTGTCTCATCACACCTCCAGATATCGAGCAACCAGACGACGTAGGTGCGTGGGGAATATTTCTGTCCCTGTGCAGAGGTCGCAATTGTTACTCGTCTGGGTGTGTGTCAGGTGTCTCAATACTCAATGCTGGTCTGGGTGTGTGTTGGGTGCCTGATCCGGTCACATTCAATGCTTGTCGGGGTATGTGTTGGGTGTCTGGACCGGTTGAACTTAATGCTCGTCGGGGTATGTGTTAGGTGTATGGTCCGGCCGCACTCAATGCTTGTCTGGCTGTGTGTTGGGTGCCTGGTCCGGTCGTACTTAATGCTCATCTAGGTGTGTGTTGGGTGTCTGGTCTGGTCAATGCTCGTCGGGCTGTGTGTCGGGTGTCTGGTCCGGTCGCATTCAATGCTTGTTGGGTGTCTGATCCAGTCGTACTTAATGCTCGTCTGGGTGTGTGTCGGGTGTCTGGTCCGGTTGCACTCAATGCTCGTCGTGCTGGGTTTCGGGTGTCTGGTCCGGTCGCATTCAATGCTTGTTGTGTGTCTGGTCCGGTCGTACTTAATGCTCGTCGGGCTGTGTGTCGGGTGTCAGGTCCGGTCGCATTCAATGCTTGTTGTGTGTCTGGTCCGGTCGTACTTAATGCTCGTCGGGCTGTGTGTCGGTTGTCAGGTCCGGTCGCACTCAATGCTCGTTGGAGTGCGTGTTTGGTGGTTCGAAGCTTTGTAGGTGGGAGGGCCTGATATGTTGTACCAGGAGTAAGGAAAGGATGTCCCACAAAGTTAAAGTAGCAGAGGTGCCTGAAGTAAGACCAGTGGCATCTGGGTATTTCTCAGGTTAGGAGATATTTATTGGATGATACATAAACATATAAAACACTCTTAACGCGTTTCGTAGCTCCAGCTGGCCACTTCCTCAGGAGGGTGTGATGAGACACAAGTAAACATATCAGGAGACGCTGCTGCATCTCAGCAAGTGTCTCATCACACCTCCAGAGGAAGTGGCAAGCTGGTGCCATGAAACCTGTTAGGAGTGTTTTATATGTCAATGTGTCATCCCATAAAACTCTCCTAACTGAAGAATTACCCAGATGCCACTGGACTTACTGCAGACGTCTTGGGCACTTGACCTTTTTTGGGGCATGCTTTCCTTCCTGCTGCTATGTGAGTATGTTTAGTGAGGACAAGCAAGTGGTCATGCCAAGAAGGGAGAACAAAATTGTAAGGGGGAGTAAAGGTTGCTTCTCTATAACAACTTTGCCTTACAGCAGGGGTAGCCAAACTCCGGCCCTCCAGCTGTGGTGAAACTACAAATCCCATGATGCATCTCTCTCCAGGAGTCATGTCTGTGGCTGTGAGAATCTTGCAATGCCTCATGGGATTTGTAGTTCCACCACAGCTGGAAGGCCAGAGTTTGGCTACCCCTGCCTTGCACAACACAGACATCAATAAAAACCTGACAGGGGGTTCTAACACCTCACCAGTCTACCCAAAACTAAAAAAATGTTTTGCCTTTAGTTATACTTTATACTCGGCATTATATTGTTTTATGTTCCTCATGGCACTGCGGATTCACTAACTGTCCTCCCTGCAGCATCAGATAAAGAAAGCAAAGGGCCCTATTGATAAGTGTGTGCAGGATCTGCAGGACAGCTCTGCCTTGGGACTGGTTTATGGGTGAGCTCTGTCACTGAACAGCAGCAATGGCAGTTTTAGAGTCTTTTCAGATAACTGGCTTCCAAGGCAGGAAATCCCTCTCTGTCAACATGCAAATAGATAAAACTATTATTAGAAGTCCACTGAACATGTATACTCACAGGACAAACCCCTAGAGATCAGCATCCACAATGAACCACGCCAGTGGTTCTCAACCTGTGTAACCTCAGGACCCACATTTATCCTAGGTCACCGCACTGGAACACACGGCATTGCAGGTTAGGTGTGGACCATCGAACTGTGAGCGGGAGGTGCGCTTGGGGTGCCATTTAAAAAGAGAACTATGAGGTGAGTGCTTTTCACTCACCTCATAGTTCTAGCCGACCTGTGACAATGAGACTGTCACAGGTCGGCTCAGTAGATGGGGAGGTGAGCGAACACATACCGGCGTTCGCTCACCTCTCGATCCTGTCACGGCTCTCTGCCGTGACAGGGGAGAGGCTGGATTCCCTTCTCCCCGCTCCGATCCGCCAGCGCTGACTGGCGGAACGGACGGGGGAGGGGACGGCTACAGCCGGCTATGCCTCTAGATAGGCAGAGCCAGCTGTCAGTCACGCAGCTGGGCGGATCCCGGCACGATTGTCGGGATCCGCTTCAGCTGCGGCGTCTCAGTATACCGCGAGCTACAGCTCGCAGTATACTGAGCCTAGGGTGACGGGAGGACGGTAGTTTGTGTCCTCCCGTTACCCTGAGAACTATGGGGAAAAGCCTTAACCCCATAGTTCTCCTTTAAATGAATGGCAACACATCTCCCACACCAGAATGCACAATAGGTGCAATTGTGTGGTACAGCGCATTAATCACACGGGACCCTGCGATTAACAGACTGTACTAGTGTGAGAGGCCCCTCAAAAACACCGACAGACATTCTTGCACACATACACTTCCCAAAAAAAAGTGTTTTGTTTTTTAAGATCCACCCAGCCTCCCTACCTTACGAGAACTGGAGTAGATCCTCAGCCTGGGGTCCAGTGTGGGCTGCTGTGCTGTGACGGAGCTCCATCCATATGTGCATTGCTTGTACAGCTCCCTTGTGCGCCCTGTAGAGCTGCCGGGCGCCAGAATGTGACATCACTCCGGTCCAGACACCTATACAGGCGTAAGAAAAAAGAAAACTTGCCGCACTCCTTCCTGGGACGCCCCAAAAAAAGACGGGTGCTCGAAATGACTGCGGGTGGCGCCGTCACACGTAGACAAAAAGGAAGACGTCACCAGCACTCCAACAACGATAATAACAGCACTGAGCCTGATGAAGGGGACCCTGTGTGGCCCCAAAAGCGCTTGTCAATGAGAGACAGCATCTGTCAATAAATGAGCATCTAATTGCTGTTATTATGGTTGTTGGAGTGCTGGTGACGTCTTCCTCTTAGGCACCTATACAGGGCACGCGAGAAAGCTGTAAGCAATGCACATATGGATGGAGCTTCCTTGCAGCCATACCCCCAGCCCACCCCACCTAAAGATGAAATTCAGCACCAGGCAGCATATTTTGAATGGCTGCTCGGCATGAGAACTGACGGTGCTGTGCTAGGGGGAGGCAGAGGAGCATCTCGCTTAGCGCAGTGGAGGGCATGCAGCGACCCACTGAACACGGGTTTGCAACCCACTTTTGGGTCGTAACCCACCAGTTGAGAACCGCGGATCTACAGCATACTGGATAATAGCCAGGCAGAATATAATGGGAGGGGGGTAAAGGGAACCAAAAAGCCCTCCGCAAAAATACTGTGACCTGCCGCCATGTGTGAGCACTAGCTTCATATAGTAGAGCGTTAAAAACTCATCCACTTGTTTTATTCTTCTTCGGAGGGCTTCCTCGCCCACGTTTATTAACAAACATTTCTCAAAACACAATGCAGTTTCCCTCAGTGGGGTTGCCCAATATTTATCTTCACAAAAAAACATCCATTCAGCCTCCTGGTCTTGCTCTGGCCTTAGGCCCCTGTGTGTGTCCTCCTGACACCGTGCCGACCTGCACTCTCTGTACACACCTTGCAGCTCCCTAGTGCACTGGCCTCCACCCTAACTCCTGGGCAGAGATCTCCTCTGTCCCCCTGGTGAAGCCCTGAACACTAGCCAGCACCCATACCATAAGGGGCTGTGCATAATCAAAGGGCCCTGGTCAACACCAAAGCATGGTCCCAGGGTTGTAGCCTCCATCTCACCCAAGTCTCTACCAACCCTCCAGGTTCCAGGACCCTGACCATGATTTACCAATCCTGGACCACACTGAAAAGCCAGTGTTCTCCATATGAAACATGCACCCCGGGAGCCCCGCAACCTGTATGTGTGAGAACCCTGGGTGACCTCTAACCCGGGCATAGGCAACCTCAGCACTGCAGCTGTGGTAAAACTACAAATCTCATCATGTCTCTGCCTCTGGGAGTCATGCCTGTGGCTGTCAGAGTCTTGCAATGCCTCATGGGACTTGTAGTTCCACAACTGGAGTGCCCAGGTTGCCTACCCCTGGTCTAGCTCTTTCCTTTCGTGACAAGGTGCAGGACTGTCAGGTATGCAAAGGAAAGTCGTTACATATCACCACGGTCATAAATCTAAAAACAACAACGTCGGGTTAGTTCCTCATTCTTATGTATCTGCAGTCACAGCTTCGTATCAGATACACGGCCTGAGTCCATAAACTGCACAAGGAGAACTTCCACTTTTGCAGCCAAATTGGCATCACATCTTCTTTCTATTTCTTACATGTTCCTATTCACATCGGAGAACTCACCTAAGACCCTAATACTTGCTTACAAGCCCTACCTAGGTAACCCCCCTCCCCCCACATGTCATGTTAAGGAGGGGGCTGTGGGAATTATATTTAATGAACCCTGTCTGTACTGAGCTGGCAGATCCCATTATCATTTGTAAACTGGATCTGAACGCTGTCTGCCCCAACAAAGGGTTAAAGACTTAGAAGCATTGAATGTTAATGAGAAGAAGCTCAGTCTGTCCAACCATCTGTCCCTCCACTTTTACTTTTAAACTGCTCAGAGCAGCCGGGAACCTGCACAAAGACCTCCACCAAAGAAGCATCTAAAAGATAAGAAATGTATTTTTTTTTAATGATTTTTCGTTATGCTGTGTGATCATAGAGTGAAGTTTCCTCACAACTGACTCCAAAAGTGGAAATACACTTTAAAAGAAACATGGAGGCCGCCCTTGCCCGCGCTTGCTTCTTTCCTTCAAACCACTAACTTGAAGCAAGTGGGTCAGCACTGCAGCTGCACAAATAGCAGCTTCAGGAGAAGGTCAGCAATGGCAGACCTCCCATAGCTCCATTTTATTTCTACTTATTCATTTAATCCTTACAGGCATTTCTATAGAATTAAAGTGATTAAAGAGAACCTGTAACCATAAATTCTCATCAGTCCCTGTCCCCAAGGAGCTTACAATCTAAGGATCCATATACACACATACAGGGCCAATTTAGACCAGAGACAATTAACCTTCCAGCATGTCTTTAGAATGTGGAAGGAAACCCACGCAAGCACAGGGAGAACATGTAAACTACATTCAGACAGTGTCCTTGGTTGTCACTAATCACTCTTGCATTAGAGATTTCCTCTCACTTCCTGTCATGTGTATGAGACAGGAAATGAAGGGAAATGAAGGGAATTTAAAGGAACACACCCCCCCC